AATTTAAATACAAATATGTTTTGCTATGGCCTATTAAATCACAAGTTATTTCATTTTCACTTATACATTGTTGCACCATTTTTTAAAAAAAAAAATCTGGAATCATTTTGCGTAGCTAAGATGTAAGAGCCATCTGGCTAGCTGTTAGCCTTCAACCATTCAGAGATGTTCTTCACTTTCTTCTCACTTCCTGATAAATATAAGATGATAATGTCACAGAACACATTTGTTTTATGACAGTTTTTTTTCTTCCACTAAACTTTTCACAAAAATCACTTCCCATAAAACATGTCCCACAACAGACAGAAGTAGAATGACCAAAAGGATAAAACAGAGCAACTTTGCTGTCACTTAGCCTTCCTGTTATCTGCTGGCGATGCGATCTATAATTAGATGGAGGCTTGGAAAAGATGGCGGCAAGATTTTATTTTATTTTTTTTTTTTTTTTGGACTACAAAACATTAGGAAGCAAAAAGAAAGAAAGAAAGAAAGAAAGAAAGAAAGAAAGAAAGAAAGAACTTTATTGACACTGAAAATATTAAACTTTCAGTCTCAATCTCCACACTGAAAAGCGGTTCTCGCACAGTTGTTATCTCCTACATACAATATGTTGCATTCACCAACTGGAAATCAATCCAAATTTTTTTTAATCGCATGATTTAACTTTGAAAGAAATAGAAGAAAGAAAAAAAAAGACAACTAATTTTGCCAAACGGCCATCTAAACCCATTCTGACTGAACCAAACGCTTTTACTCTCAACACCATCACTGGTGTGCAGCTTCCGGCTTGCCCCCGTTAAGCTATGCTAACAACATGCAGACAGAGGGGGGCAGAGAGGGAGGCAGTCCCAGCTTGGAGAGAGGAGAGAGGCAGAAATTCTTGTGTTTTTTGGTATGCGATTAGCCAGTGGAGAACCCATGACTGAAGGGGAGAAGGAGGAGCTGAAGGAGGAGGAGATACATTCCTCGCCTTCCTCTTTAAGGTGACCACATTTTTCATTTATTTATTTTTACTATTTTCCTGCTGACATGTTGCCCCGTGTCGCCACATGACACCCTGAAGCTCTCAGCTGACGCTTCGCCAGTGGACGGAGCGGTCAGTTGTACACAAACTAATTAGATGGAGTCAGGAATGACCTTTGACCCACCTGAGCTTTGAGCAAAATATGGTGTGTGTGGCATGCGTTTAACTAAAGAAATACAATGAAAAAATAAGTGATGGCTATCCCTGAAAAAACTTGCTACAAACTATTTAATTTAGGTCTAGACTTTGATTAGGCCATTTTAAAAAGCTGGTCTACTCTATATTAGCACCAATTACATGTTTAGTGTCGTCTTTAACCTTTTACAGCCTTAAACAGATACTATCCCATCTTCCTGCTCACTTGGGTCAGTTTCCCCATCTCTGCTGAAGAAAAGCATAATGCTGCCACCACCGTGGGAATCCATTTAAGGCGCTTTCCGGATCAAAGTTGCCATGAGCCTCCTGTGGAACGTCTTTTCATTGAAGTCCCTTGCCCGGCCCCAGCAGAACTTCTGAAATGCAGCGACTTTCCATCTGACACATTAAATGGGCCCCCATCAGATTTGCATTGAAAAAAAAAAAAAAAAAGAAAGAAAAAAAAAAAAAAGAAAGAAAAAAAAAAATAACGCCGCTCCGCCTGTTCTTCGACGTCTCAGTCGAAGCCTATAATCGCCCACTCGCCTGTAACGACAATTACAATAATGGACTGATTGTCGGATTATGGCACCAAAGTGGTTTTAGCGCACATCTGCATAATTGTTCCTAGCAATATAGGCGCCCGTGGGCTCCCGGCTGCCATTAGCCGCGGCAACGGAGGGAGACGTTCGACGCTCGATGAGCAAGGGGGGCAAATTCTGCTCCCAAAAGTGCGTGGGCGTTTTCAGTGGAGAGGGAGCGAATGCACAAAGGCATTGTTTTATAAGAGTGTTTGTGTGTGTGTGTGTGCGTGTGTTTGTATTTTTTTTGGAGCAGACTGATGAAGGAAGTGAATCCTGGACCTTCAACAGTCTCTTTGCACTTTCAGATTGACAGTTTTTTTGGGGGGGGAATCATCACCTATATCTCTGTCTTTGTATCATCTTTGTCAAAAAAAAAAGAAAAAAAAAAGAAAGCATCACATGATCAACAGATGGACAGACACATCCGTTTGTACACGATGAGGAGGGGGGCTTGGGGGGATCTGTAGCAGCATGATCTAGATCAACAGCTGAACCCAGATCCACCCCCCTCCTCCCCTCCACCTCCTCTCTGTGTAAACATGAGATGAAGGCTTTTGGGAAGGAGGAACAGGGAAAAAGTGCCAATTTCGCTATCCAGCTCATCTGTGACTGTTGTCGTCTGCAACACCTGAAACCTGCGGCGTTAATTCATCCAACTCCTCCTCCTCCTCCTGAAAGCAGGCCAACATCCCACTCGTGCAAGAAAAAAAAAAAAACAGAGAGGGGGGAAAAAAAACGTGCTCCCCCTCTTCCTCTGTCCTTCTCTCTCTGTGCTAATTACTTGCCGCTACCATGGCAACGGGTAGCACCTCTTTTTTTTGTGTGCGTGTTTGTGTGTTAACTTGGCTATCTAGCCCATCACAAAAACACATGCACCAACATTTCCACGTCGGATGGAAGAAAAAGAGAGGCTTGCTGGCCGTTCTTAAAATTAATTTCAAATTTTAAGAATTTCAGATTTGTAGAGCTTTAAATTTTAAATCTCCTTCCCCCCCAAAAAACTTCCCAGATTACCTTCTATGATGCGTCAAAGTTTTGCATAATTTATAATCCGATTTCTGTCTGTGCAGACAGCAAACATACTGTCTTGAGCTGCTACAAAATGGACTGCATCAACATTTTCTTTTGCTTTTTGCTTCTAAAACAGGTTTTATTTTAGATTTTTGCTATGCTGTTTGTTTTCTTAGTTTTTTTTTGGCCATATCTGATCAAACCACGCTGGCTTTACGGCGCAGATCCGTTCTGACATCCCCGGAAAGCGCCGTGATTAATTACTTCCCTTCAAGGTCCTGAAGTAACTGCAAACTGTTATTGATTAACTGATCAGTAGAAGGCTGAGTGGAGATCTATTCACCTCGTATCAATGGATTCTTCTGGAGGCCATTGTTAAGGCTGCACTGTGACACGGTGGCACATTTCTATACTTAAGCTCTGGAATTTGGGAAACATCGGAATTTGTCTGCGGATTCCTTCCTTATTAAACACACAGGAATGTCGTTTGACAGCGAGGAACACGTTCAGTTGGCTAAAGTCGGATCAGTTGGCCGAGTTTGGACATTTTTGGACTAAAAGCGGCAAAATAGATGCAAAAAAAAAACCTGGATTCAACAGAATGAACATTAGTGAAGCTCATGACCCTGATTCAGATCTGCTTCTGAAATGTGGGCCTAGTGAAAAATACACAGTTTATGCACTCAGTACTTAGTTGGGGCTTTTTTTTTTTTTGCATGAATAAATGCATCAGTGCAGAATGGCAAAGAGGCTATCAACCTGACATAATGGAAGCCCTGACAGCTTTGACAGCATCCTTCAGACAAAATACTTTTCCAAGTAGTTTTTCCTTCCACGAAACTTTCCATGAATGTGATCGGAAAGCAATAATCTTTTGTCTCTTTGTGGTCTAAACTCTTTGTTGAGGGTATCTGTTGCATAGCCAAGTCAGCAGACTGTTAAGGCCACGATTAAAAACATTTATAGATTAAATATTTGTTTCCATTGCTTTTATGTAATGTTCCATTCTTTGGTTTATATTTCATATTCATAATGCGATGTGTGACGTGGTGAAACTGCATTGCGCAAACAAAAAAAGCTGCCACTTCCTCTCCTTCCCCTGCTCCCCGCACGTGTCTTAATACCCACATTATCTTCAATGACCCTGGGTTTTATGAATGGGTAACATCTGGCTCTCTCATTGGCTACCAGCAGCAGCCAATCGGGATGGAAATCACTGTCAACAGTGACGGGCTGGCGGACTGGACAAGTCGAGACAGACTTTAAGAGGTCCTAACCCCCACGAACCCCGACTCCCTCTCGCGTCGTGCTTTGGTTTGCATTCGTACTGTATGTGTGCAAGTCGCACACTGACCTACTTGGTTCACCGCGGCCGTCTATACATAGCTGTGGGAAAGGCAGGCAGACAATCGGCCCCGGTTAAAATTAGCAGTCAGGGCCACCTGTGTGCCTCTCACAAAAAGGCGGAAACATCAGAGCAGGCAGAGGAGGGATGAAGGGAGGCGCGAGGAAGGAAAAAGGGGGTCGGGATGGAGACATTGATCACTCTGCCGCTCGTTCTCTCGTTTTTTTTTTTTTTTTATCCCCACTGCGACACAGGGAGACATTGTTAGGCGGTTCGGATTTGACGACGAAGAGGGGCCGGGGGGGTGGCTGGTTTCGAGGTCCAGGCCAAGTGGAGTTCACATACCACTCGGCTGGAGCGCTGCCAAATTTCAAAGCACATAGGTGGAATATATAAGGAGAGGAGACGTATTGAGGCGAGAGAGCCATTAAGCACCTTAAACAAACTCAACATAGTGAAAGAAGGCAAAAAAAAAGGGGAAGGAAAACACTCGACTTTCTAAATAATGCTACATCCAGTCTGCCAGATGCCCCTTTCCTGCCCTCCCATATAACATGTTGTCACTGTATAGCTAAAAAAACGGCATGTTTCCTGCCTTTGTTGTTACAGACAGCCGACAGGAAGCCCTCGTCTTCTTTAACTGACGTTCACATTAAAAAACTGCCACCTCGTTTCCTAGAATCACCAGTTCTCAGCCCACACTCGCTTTTTGTTCCCGTGAGCTTCCACCAGAATGAAAGTGGCAGTGGGCGGAAAGGCAAAAGCGCTCGAGAAAAAGCTGCGAAAGTACAAGCAAAGTTCAGCTGATTTTAAGTGTTTTATAACTCTTGTCTTTTTTTAATTCCTTTGTGTTTGTGTGTGTGCTTTTACAGTAAAAAGTCCAACCTTTTCTCTCTTTCAGGACAGACGATTGACTGCAGGAGAGGAGATGGAGAACTTCTGCAGCATCCGTCCACCTTCGGCCATTTTGAGTTGGAGAAAACCTTTTAAACACTGAAAAGCAAAGGAGGAGAGAGTTAGCTCATTATCAACATGCATTTCTGGGTCAAAATAGTGTTTATAAAGGTTAATTTATTTTTCATCTGTAGACCAACATAAGCATCATTAGCCAGCTGAGGTGTAGTTTTATTTTTTTACAGTGACCACCAGGGGGCGCTGCTCCCCACTCACTGAACATGCTGAAATTAGAACAAAATGCAATTCATATGAGGCGTAACTAAAACATTTTGTGCAGATTATGCCACTCTGGGCAGAGAGCCATTGTCTCCTTATTAAAAACACTAATAGAGGAGTTCCCCATTTTTGAAAAATGGAAGAATGAGGACGTACTCCAGAAAATTTTATTCGTAAACATGTAATGTTTTGTTTTTAGATTAGTTAAAAACTTACCAAATCCTCCATATTGATGCTAAAAAAAGCACATGTCAGTTTTCTTGGGCAAAAAAAACAACAACAAAAAATCCTGGGAATTCTGCCGTCGTTGCTTTGCAAAAATTCAGCAAGCATAGCGCTACAGATGCATAAAGTCAGGTTGCTTTAACAAGTCAAGAACAATATCCTCATCCGGGGTTGTTGCAGGAAGTGTGAAATCAGATCTGTATCACTCTTACTTGGAAAAAGCGACACCAGCAAATAACTTTTTCATGCGTGTTGCTGAGGGAGGAAATTGCCAGGACATATGTAGGTGAAGGTGCAAGTAGGAAATAGGTGTCTGGTTGTTTAAAAAAAAAAAAAAATCTGTATTCACAACTTTTGCGATTGTGTTTTTGTAAGAAAAAAAAAAAACAAACTGGCAGAAATAGTTGTTTTTGCATCATTACGAGCTGCACACGCCCTTCTCGGCAGACTTACATCAGCTTGAGGTCGTTTCCCTGCTCATTAAAATCTCCCCCGCCTGGACCGAGGCGCCCAATCAGAGCAGCGGAGGAGCCAGCGGGTGCCCAGCGTTTGCTCAGTAGTCAGTGTAGATCCTGTGGGGCTGGCAGCAGCTACATCTGGCTACTGGGTCTCTGCTGACGACCAATCCGGTCCCAGAATTCAGGACTGTCGCAGACGTTTGGTTTCTCCTCACCTGGGACTAGTTCTGGACCTGGCATACAGTGTAGGATCCTGTGTGTGTCCGTCTACAGCTACATTGTCTGCTGGGTTTCAGGCCTGTCTACTTTAAAGTCACCTTTCAGATGAATACATAAAAAAAAAAAAAAAAAAAAAAAAAAAAAAAAAAAAAAATTAAAAATTTTGTTTTTTTTACATAAAAAAAATTTTTT